TGGGAGACTCAAATAATCAACTCTGAGTCCAAACTCCTGGACTACAACAGAGGCCACATCCTTGAATACGAAGGTACCTATTCCTTCTGTAAATTTCAGGTGGATCGGTACCTCTACATAATACCTACATCCAGGCAATGGAGGCAAAGAAGCTACTTAGAGCTTGTAAGTTGAGGTAAGTACTGGTGGTATCTCGGAGTATTCCCTACCTCCACAATACCTCCATCCCATGTATACGAGAAATTGGTTCGATGTGCCAGGGGTACCTACTTCTACAAGTGTCGTGCAGCGCCCTGGGAACATGAACTCCTCGGTTAAAATTTTCAACCGAATTCGGAACGTTAAAAACGTTGTTGGCACAAGGGGCACACTGGCCTTACGTGCCTCAACTGATTTCGTCCGTCCGATGGGAGATTGCGGTCTGTGAAATGTGTGGTGAAAAGAAGTAGCATCGAGTCCTCCATAAGTGGATTACTCCAGTGCGGGTCCGACGGTAAGCCTGCCAATCCCCCTTGTTTGAGAGACAAGGGTGAGATAAAGGTATGCCCTGGTTAACTACCATGTCCTGATTTGAACCAGGATGAGACTCCCTAGAGATACGTGGCAGAGAGCGCCTCTACATGTACCTCGAGGGTCATATTCTGCTAGCCGAGGATGGAAAGAAGCTAACAGTTAGGCAGAGTCCTCAGTCGAGGTGAAGACCATGAACACAAGACTGAGAATTAGAGAACAACGTCGTATGTATCCCGATGGCGACTTCGCATCTCTAGCCGGTGCTCTCAGATCAGCCCTGCTGATGACACCCCTCTCTATACCTTATTCATTCTCATGATTGCAAGGTCTATTAAAAGACTACTGCTGTGCCATGAAACGGGCATGCTTCATTCCCATTTTCTTCATCATCTCGTGTTTCTTTGCGAATTCAACGCCCACTACATACTTCCGCTTCTTTCTTCTTCGGCTCTTATCGACACCGTAGCTGTCTACAGGTGTCAGCTAAAGTTTGCGTTCACCTTTATCATGCGGGCTTTTCTTCCCCTCGCTTTTTCCCACCTTTTGGTCACTGTCTGGGCCGGAGGCTACCAGTCTGGCCTCGAACGTATTTGGCTATTCAAGGCCTACGAGATTGACGGACTCAATGCCGAAGCAGACCAAACAATTGGCATGAGATGCAACAATTTCAAACCCAATCTCAAAACTCCAGCATGCAAGGAGGCATGGATTCCATGTGTTGGTAAATCCAGCAGTCGATGCAACTTCGACGAATTCATGGACTTCCTGCAGCAAGATGCTTCAGCCGCCCCTCAAGACCCCAACAACCCTGCAGCACCCAAACCCCAAACAAAATGGGGTGTGTTCCAAGGCGACAAACTGGACGTACAAAAAACCGCCATAAACATCTTCAAACTCAGCAAGGGGAGAGGTTCCCCCGAAGTGCCTCCTCACCAGATGATGAAGAGCTCCGCAGTAGGCTATCCAGAGTTCGTCAAGATGGTCAGCAAAACGGTAGACGACACCTACAAGAAGCATGGGAGCGTCGGGGATCCGCGTTTCTGGCAAGAATTTGACCAAATCAGAGAGGACATCAAGACGGCGCGTGTTGGAGATCATGGGCCGCATCTCATTAAAGCAGCGAACGAAGATGAAAAGCTAAAAACCTACCAGCTTGAGATCAAGCACATTGGCAAACATCCGGCAAATGAGAGCTGGAGCTGGGACACAATAGATCAGGAGGCTACGATTGCGAAGAATACGAGGGTGGATGAGAAAGGCAATTCAAACGCTGACGTTGTGCGGAAAGATCTGAAAGATTTTTTCGATAGGTATTACGCTCTCAGGAATGGGAAGAAAAACACCCCTGCAACCCGCCATCGCAATGTTATCGAGGCATATACCGAGAGCGCAAAGGAGAGCGCGAGCTGCAGGGCTAAATGAGGAGTCGGGCTTTGGAACATCGCGGGTCAACGAATGTAGCTGTCAAGCAGTCTAGCTGTATTTCCATTACTGTGTTTTGTTAGCTCGCTCATAGATAATTATGTCTGGACGTCCTTTTGGAAGTAAAACGCCGTTACTAATGTCGACAACCAGGGATGTGTGTTTTCCTCCAAGTATTTTGCCTCTTTCTTGTTCAAGTAGGCAGTGAGGAGGATTAATTGCTGGTGGGTAGAAGCTGACGAGTAGTGTTAGCAGTATACAGCCTCTCCATTTCCCTTGTTCTCATGTCCGTGTGCGTTCTAACCTGGAAGAGGGCTCGTCTTTCCCTTGCGCGGAAGAGCTCTAGATCAGGATTATTGGCGATGCGGCCGAGGTCCTCTCCGCCTGACTCACCAAGCACAGGTTTAGAGAAGCAATATCTTAGGCCGAGTGTAAACTTGATTGGAGCCTCTTGACCCACGGTCCACTCTCTACAAATGTGACCAGATGTACAGCTCATATTACCGCTGTCAAAATCACTAGCGAAGACTCCAGTCACCGGTAGAAGCTCAAATCTCGGGCTTCTCGGCGAGTGTAGAAGGGAGCCGAGGCAGACGGAATGACAACGCTACGTAGCACGGCTTCATTTCCCACATAATGCGACGTGTGTCCCCTTGGAAGCGGATCAGCGTGCTAGGAGCTATTAGGAAAGAGAGGAAGAATAGGTACCTCTACGTGGAAAGCGCCCGAGGATAAGTATGTCGCCAGTTTCGTCTCCATGTCAACGGCTAGAGGGGGACGACTACCTTGAGGATACCTGCCTACATGAGCTCCTTGAGGGTTTGACGGCTCCTCTTCCAGCCGAGTGCTCTCGTGGTGGCCCGACGTTATGTTCATGTATTGTTCTAGCCTCTCGGGCAGTGCGGCAGTCCCTGCAGATGCTTAAAACGGATGCAGGGATCTAATGCAGGTACGTACGTGGTTGCCAAGGTAAGGTACATACCTCTACGGTGTACCGAGTAGAGTACTGTAATTCGGCACTTCAGTTGAGGTATGTACCTGTGGAGGGTCAGTACCGTATAGTTTCGGGCCATTG